AGGGTCTTGTTTAGGGTCAGGGTTAGGGTTTGGGTTAGGATAAGGTTTATGGTTAGTGTCAGGGTTAGGATTAGGGTTATGGTTAGGAGTTAGGATTAGGTTTAGGGTTAGGTTAGGGGTTAGGGCTTTTGATTGGTTTGGCATTAGGGTTAGGGTTATGGTTAGGGTCCTGTTTAGGGGTAGGATTAGTATTAGGGATGCGATAAAGATTATAGTTAGCATCAGGGTTAGGATTAGGGTTAGGGTTTGGGTTAGAGGTTAGGATTAGGAATAGGGTTAGGGTTAGGAATAGGGTTAGGGTTACGGTTAGGTTTAGCATTAGGGTAAGGGTAGGTCATGATCAGGGTTAATGTTAAAGATTAGGGTTAGGGTCTGGTTTAGGGTTATGGTTAGTGTTAGGGTCAGGGGTTAAGTTTAGGGTTAGGGTCAGGGTTAGGTTTAGGTGTTAGGATTATGAATAGGGTTAGGGTTAATATTAGGTTAGGGTTATGGTTAGAGTTAGCGTTAGGGTTAGTGGTTAGGATTATGAATAGGGTTAGGGTTAGCGTTATGGTTAGGGTTATGATTATGGTTAGGTTAGGGGTTAGGGTTAGGATTAGGGTTAGTGTCAGGGTCAGAGAAAGGGTTATGTTTAGGTTTAGGGTCTGGTTTAGGGTCAGGGTTAGGGATAGGGTCAGCGTTAGGGTTAGGGTTAGTGTTACAGTTAGGGTCAGGGTTAGGATTAGGTTTAGGGTAAGGGTCAGGGTTAGAGATAGCGTTAGGGTTAGTGTTACGATTAGGGGTTAGGGTTTAGGGCTAGAGTTAGGGTCTTCGTTTGGGCGCAATTATTGATGGGCGAACGGGGCTTTGTACGCATTTTCTGGGGTCCTATTTTAAATTCCTCTCCGATTCTGGGTAGGTATATATTTAGGGTTAGGGTTTAGGGTTAGGGCTGGGTTGGGGTTAGGATTAGTGTTAGGGTTGGGTGGGGGTTAGGATTAGGGCTAGGGTTGGGTTGGTGTTAGAATTAGGGCAGGACAGAGCAAAAGGCTGAGATGTCCTTGGCTTGGTGTAAGCACTGCTCTGCAACAATTAAAACATCGGGGTGTTATCAGCACTCTTCTCATCCTAAGCCAAAACACAGCATTCTACCAGCTACTAGGAAGAAAATTGACTCTGTTCTAACTGAAACCAGGACATGGGTGAAGCCAACAACAGCCTGGTACCTAACCTGGAAAATTGCCTCACCTGAAGGGTGAGCTTCGCTATGTAACATCTTCGATCAGAAAAAAGGATGCATGTGCATACACAGACCCCAAAGCCTTCCCAAAGAGCTTCACTTTGCTTTTGGCTTTCTCTTACACAGTGGCATGAATGAGAAATACGGCTCCTCGACTCACCTGAGGTAGCACTGATGCAAAACCAGGAGGATGAAAATGCAAAAAGTCCTTTTCCCAGAAAAATGAGAGCACGGGATTTTAGACATTATATATATATGTGTAAATATATATTGTAAATGTATCTACACTATTTGAAATTCAATGATTTTAAATTAAAATTGCATTGATGGCACTGAATATTATGGCCTAGCCTGCACTGCAATAATATAATAGACAGAAAAAAGCCCCTACAAATTTGATAAGAAGTCAAGCTACTGAAGTGACTGAAGTATTTGCTGAGCCAGTTACAGACGGAGACATTTCTCCTCTGCACACCCAGAAAGATGTCTCTTCCTTCAGTTCACTAAACATGGAGAAAACAATCAGGGACTGAACCCAAAGAGATAAGAGGCTATTTTACTTTCCCAGTATAAGCCCTCATACAGGTTTGGTGACTGGAAAGGCAGGCTGGTCTGCTGGCAAGAACATTCCGTGTTCAGAACGTCCATGTCAAATGCAGAATAAGTTTTGGTAATTGCACTCTTCTCCCTGCACTGTATATCCATCATATGTAGGATTTTATTGGGATTTAAATCAGAAGACACTAACTAATGTATGTTTCTTACTTGGCTTGTGCACCTTGACACAGATGAGCATTAAAATTAGTCATGTAGTAGAGGTGTCAGTCCTCAATTTGGAACATAAAATGAAAAGCGTTAAGTAACTTCAGACTTAATGTGCAGATTCTGAATTAAATATGGTAATGGCATATCCTGAGCGTAAGTGAAAGGAGAGCACTAGGCACTAGTGAATCCCTACCATTTGTTCCTTAGGAAAATAATTAAAAAGTTCAAATAAAGAACAAGCTTAATTTAAATAATCAATTTTGTGTTTCCTGCTAGCTGATTTAAGGCATGATGGAAATTGTTGATTAAAGCCCCTCATTTAAATCAGCGCCCCTTAACAAGCGTGCAAGCCTCAAGCCTGTGAACATGTGCCCGTAAGAGTAATAGAAGACCCTTCAGGGAAGAAACAGCTTTCACTAGACTACTTCCAGGGCTGAAAGACCATCGTCCATCCCTTGCAAAAAGAAAAATAAATCTTACTAAGCTAAGCAATTTTTCTCCCTTAAGCTCTTAACACTGTAGAAATAGTAGGAACAGGACAATAAGTCACAGGTCATTCCCAGCCATATTATCTGAGTGCGACTGAGCTCGCGATGCGTTTCACTAACTGCCGGAAAGGAAGATGAAGTATGGATGGAATAATTTAAAAGACGGCTTTGAGTTCCCTAAACATTGCATATGAATGTCCTGCCCAGCTATTCGTCTTAGAAGCGCTCAGCCTTTCAAGAACTGCGAGCAGCTGCCCAGGGATGACGGCCAAGGGATGCTGGGTGGAGCGGGAGCATGCTACCCGGTTGTTCAAGTATCAAGAGATGGACGAAGATCTAGAACTAGAGCTATTTCTGGTAGATTTTTTTCAGCGTCATCCTTACACTTCTGATTTCCCCCTTAAAATTGCATCTCCAAGGGACCTTGTGGTCTTTATGGTAAAGCTATGGTGATCCGAGAGCACAATTATTTGTTGCTTTCCTTCCTCCAGCATTTTGCAACAGCAGTGTCATACCTTTGTGTCACGCTGCCCTGCAAATCTGCTTCCAAAAGGCTGCCTTCTTTCTTCAAAGAGCGTTTCCAGTGCTTAGCAAGATCTCTCAGAGCCCTTGACTTTGCAGCTGGCAAAGTTTACAACATGTTTACAATACCCTGCATAATTTGGCTATGAGATAATGTATAGTATAGTCCTTCAGTGGTGCACAGTGGGAGAAGAACAAGTGAAAAAAAAAAAAAGGGTGATGGAAAGCCAAGAAAAACAGATGGTAGCAAGCTCTCCAAGGGGCGAGAATGAATAAATAACTGCAGATTATTTTTTTTTCCAAGGAAAAATATACTGTCAAATAAATAATACAGATTTTAGGAAATGCAAACTCTATCGAATGTGCATTTTTTCAGTATTAAACAATGGCACCTCATCAGGACTGATGGTCTGTACTGCACGTGTTTGCCTAAATGAAACAGAGAAAAGCAAAACTAGTACTTCTCAGCAAGCTCTTGTTTGACCCGAGGGTTAAATTTCATGCTTCCTGGAAAGTCATACTGCAGATGACAGACCAGATCTCTAGCAGGTGTAAGTCAGAGTGGCCTAGACTTACCATGCCATTTAGCAGCATTATAACTTTGATGGTCTATGTCAGGTCAGCCGTTCTTAGGGAGCAAAACTTCCCAAATTTTATGGGAACTTTCCTGTGCCTTCGAAACTGCATGTATATCTACTTCATTCACTGTACACACACCTCTAGAATGATTAATTGATGCCTTTCTGCTGTGTTTTGGCCATATCGTATCAAGCTAGAAGAGGAGAAAGAGTTGCTTAAACAACCCCCAAGTAGACAAATAACCATACTTTCTTCCAGCAAAATATTTTTTACCCCTCTTTTTAATCACCCAGAAGAAGCCAACAACATATGGGACGCAGGAAAGTTGCTCTCTGCAAATCTGTCAATCTCTTTTAGCGATGCCGTGCGTCAGCCCCAGCTCTGTTATTAACACAGCCTTCCCTGCGCAGCGCTGCCAACTGGCCCGCAGTCAGCTCTTCGCCACGAGACAAACCGTCTCCTGCTACTCTGATCTCTGAGCCTGAGGAGGGAAAGCTGCAAGGCACCACATCTCACGTGGCTCTGCTCCGAAGCCATGGTGCAGTCTCTGGTGCTTGCTTGGTCACCTGCTGGCAGCAGGAGAAGACAAATGAGCAGGCATCTAGCGTGGCTTTCCCCAGTGGCCACGCTCAGTGATGGGTTAGGGAGTAGACAGCAGCGGCTGGAAGGAGCTGCAGCCTCTGCTAACGGGCAATAACCTCTTGACACAACAGCTGAGGATGAGGACTGTGTCCTCAAGCCTCTGGGCTATGCCAGGAATGGTGGGTTTGGGAACAAAGCGGACCAAGCCCAGCGATTGTGCAAACCTCCTGGTGAAGGTCCCTGAGGAACGACACCCGCTCTGCCCCTTTGCACTGCAGCAGCTACAGCCTCAAGTGGGGAATGAGCAAGGGTCAGCTCCAAAGTGCTGGAGCACTTTGCGCTCAAAACACATCAGCGCTTCAAAACTATGGCTCCTGCCCTGCATGCATGAAATGGGAAAGCTCCCTTTTTGTTTCTGTTTCAGAAGATCTGGGCACAGAGGGGCAGCAGGCTATATACCTTGCATTTCTTTTGCCAGTGCTTCAGTAAATCACAATGTTCAGGATACTTCTGGGAAGCCAGAAACCAGCAGAGGCGATGGGAATAAAGGGTCACCTCTTCATGGTACTGCTTTTCCAGAGGCAGCCAACGCTCAGTTGTCAGGCCCACACCGCTGATGATGATATTTTCATCCAAGCCCCATTTTCTCTTCTGCCCATACAAACTCAAACAGCAAAGTCACTGCTATTACTTTAGTTTTTAATTCTTCCTGCTGAGAGCAGAACCTGAGCCCCTCCTCAAAACCACGTGCTCCCATGTTCTGGCACTGCCTGTTTTTGCTAAGTAAAGAGAATCCTCTCCAAATATCCATGTCTTTCTCACGAAGCAACGAGCCCACAGGTGAGCTGCCCAGCTGCCAGGAGCCTGGCTCCCCAGCCAGCAGGTACCAAGCTCTCCTCCCTCTAACAGCAGCTCCAGAAGAAAAGCAGACCCCAGGGATTTCCAGGGAGGGCAGGACCCAGAACTTGCAGCGGTGCAGTGGGGTTCATACATCTGTGCACACTGCTGCAAAGTCAGCAGGGTCAGATGCTGCTCTTTTCGAAGCTGGACAGGTTTCAAAGGGACACGAGCTGTCAGAAGAGGCAGGCGCTGGGAATGCCTCCAGCTCCCACCCCAAACCGCAAACCGAAATACTTCCTTTTGTTTCAGCATATGGCCAGCCCTGAGTCCTACACACATTGTAATGCCAAGAGTGACAATTAGTTTGGCATCCTGCATGGCAAAGGAGCCAGCAGGAGTTTTACCCAAACGAGAAGAGGGGCGAAGGCAGGCAGTGCAGCCTCCTGCCGTTTCAGTGAGCTCTGCACCTCCCCAGGTGCCATGTTACAGATGTGCCACCTGCCCTGATCCCGCCCAGCCACCACTTCACCCGAGACCACGTGCACTTGTACTTCACCCTTACGCTGCAGCGTACAAAGGACTGCATTAGGAGTATTTGGCAACCCAAGGCATTTCTCGATTACAAGTTTTTGCAGCAAATCCTAGGTAGGCTAATATTGTAGAATAATGTAACTGCAATCACCTGGTGTAACATTTTCTATAGTTCCTTTGCCAGTATCAAAGTACCCTGAATATATTCTCCCTCTCTAACTTAAGTCTTCAAAATTATACTGATCAGAGCAACCTGAATTTACGTCCTGACATGCTCCTGCATTCGAGAGATTTGCCCAGTGCTGGATAATAAGATTTCTCACTATAGCCAAAATCAAATTCCAGCTGCCTCTGCTAATGTGCAGCGAAGGTTTAGCAGTACAAAGCCATTGTTGTAAAGCAGACACCAGAGATAATTATATTAAACGGAAAGGGGAATTGCTACAAGCCTGAAATTAGTTTGCTGAAGATACCAGCGCTCATTTCCTTCCTCTGACACCAGAAGCCACCTCGTGTCCTCTAGCAGTCAGAGCTAAAGGCCAGTGGCTTTGCTGAGACTTCCCTGCCCTTCCCCAGCAGCAGGCTGGCTTACAAATCAGCTTCAGCCTTTCGTGCGCTAACCTTGGCGGGTTAAGGACAGGATGCTGACACCAGCACTGCAGTTTCAGAAAGATTTCCCATGTGGGTTTTGATCCATCTCCTGCCTCTCGGCAGGATGCCCTCTGGCAGACAGGCGACCTGAAGGAGTAAAACTCTTGGGCTGTCTGTGTGGTCTCTTTCCAAAGAAAAGGAGTGTCCCGTCTCACGGAAAAGTCGTTGATTGGATCAAGGAAGAAAAATCAGGAAGGAGCCCACATTCGGCAGGGTGCGTTGAAGAGATGTGGAACGCACGCAGGAGCAGGAAGGTGTCCGAGGGACCGGCAGGCGGTTACTTCCTTGGCAATGCGAGCCTGGCTCTGTTAAAGTTAGACTAAAATTCCCAAGGTAAAGGAGTTCCTTTACCTTGGGAATGGGTTTTTAAAGCATATGGCAGCAATAAAAATCCTTCATCTGTCTCCCACTGCTCCCCGTTAGCTGTTACTCTCGGGCAGCATTATCTCCTCCGAGCACCCTGCAGGCTGTGCAGTTACGCTGGTGGCCCCCCAGGAGAGATGGAGAATGACCTGCTGCAAACCGGGATTGCTGCAGGCTACTGCAGAACCGTGCACAGGTTTGCCAGGACACCTTGTGCTCCTCCTGCAGCCCTGCTGCTGGTACCACTCAGGGTCTCCTGTGAGCACAGCTGGAGGCAGCAGCAGGCTGCCTGCTCTGCTTGCCTTGCTAATGTCAGCCGACCTGGTTTAGAAAGCAGGCCATGACCACCCATCCCATCTGGCACACACAACAAACCAGTCGTGGTGTCAGAGGCTTGCACACCTCCAGCCACACCACGGGAACTCCTCAAGCAGTGTCCCCTGGCAGCAGGCACTGGTAGCACGCACACAGAGCTCAGTCGGCAGCAGCGTGGCTGAGCACGTGCAGAGGGAAAGGGAAAAATGCTGTCCCTCGGTCCAGCACTGAATGGCAGAGATTGAGGATCACATCCTTGGAGGTATTTACTGAATTCATTTTGATATCAGGCAATGAGTGCTTTAAAGAGGACCTTGGCTGAAACAGTCTGTCCTGTGCACAATTCACACTGGAAATGTCAGTGGATCAGAACAGACCCCTGCCTTGCTGCAGTCTGTTCCTGTGATTTAAGCAAAGGGCACCGGGCTCCTGGCAGCTCTGTTATTACATTGCTTTCCTTTCTGCTGTGCTGAGACATTTACTTCATCAGTGATGTCACTTTCAGAGAGTGGGTTCATACAGCAGAAGGAGAGAGATTTAAACTCACCCCCAGCCAGGAGAGCATCGGGGGGCAACAAAGGCCTGCAGGAAGGGGTGCAGAGGGTCTGAAAACTGAAAGCAAAGGCACGCTCAAAGAAGACTGTTTGGAACATAATAAATGGATCGAAAGCCAAGGTGATGAGCCCCCCCTTGCAAGGCTGGAGCAGCATGCCAAAGGGCCTGCAAGATTGCCCAAAGGGAATAATGGTAATAAAATAAGTGGTGATAACTGGGGCCAGTCGCAAAAGCCAACATGGTCCAAGTCTCCTGCAGGATGTCCCAGCAGGAACATGCCTCAGCTGGCAGAAAGGCTTTACTTATATTATAGCTGTGCCAAAACCCCATATGATAGGGATTGGGCTTCAAAGAAATGAACAAGAGACGTCGCACCTTGCTGAAGAAGCTGGGTTTGGTACACTCAGCACAAACCACAGAAGTTACAGTCCCAGTCCTGGGGAACTGTCCCCAGGGCAATACCTACAGGTGTCCTCACATGGCTCCAGCTTATCTCTGGGGAGCACAGGGATGGCCCTAACCAGCTTGTGTCTGTCAACAGGCACCTCCTCTGGCCAACGGCTTGGTCGGTCTGTTACAGCAGAAGCACTGCAGGAGCACCAAAAGGACAGCTGCAGCAAACCCTCCCCTTTGTCACCTGCCCAAGCCATGTTTTACACAGCTCTCACCTGGAGGAAACCCCCCATGGCTTGAACATGGAAACGCTTTTGTAATGTCTTCTTTTCTGTGGGGTTTGTGTTTTCAACTGCCTGTGTACATCTAAGACACGGGGCAGGAAAAAGGAGCTGCAAACACGGGTGAAGACCGAGCTCGGGGCTGGCAGTGCCACACTGCCCTCTCCTGCCGTTCTCCCCAGCAGACGCTAATCCAGCTGTGATTACTCTCTCTAGGATCTTTAAATCCTTCGGGGATTAAGGAGTCCCCCTTCCCAAATGAGGGATTCCTCCCTTAATCCACTCCAGCTGGCACAGCAACGCCAGGGAAAAGCAGCGTTTCCTGGGCAGCGGGGTCCTGGCTCTTCTGGGGAACGCTGCGTCCAACTGACCACGGCTCAAGAGCTCTTCAGCGTCACTCCCAAATCTGTCTGGCCACAGATCACAAATCATAGCCATGCCCCTGCTGCACCCTCTGCTAGGTGCTGCTGTGGGGTTATCTTGGGTCTTCCATCCCAGGGTGAAATTAGGTCTTCCATCCCTTCTGAACCTCGCTGCGCTGGAGACATCCCCTCCACACAGGATGGAGCCCTTGGGGTTTACCATCACTGCTCAGCACCTGGCAGCTGAAGCAAGTAGAAACAAAAACTGAGGAAAAGTGCCAACACTACAGAAATACAGTCTTATTGGTCCTTATCCTGTAGTCCCCTCTTAGAGGTTTTCACCAGCGTTAGCCTGCATTTCAGTGGCAGCCAAACACTGTAGCAAGGTGAGGATTTTTGACTTGATTTTCTCTCGACGGGTCTGTCTGAAAGGGTCCCTACCTGCTGTACCTGCCCTCGTTTGTAGGATAGCTGGTGGGGGAAAAGGACATCAACAGTGCAAGGCTGTATCACCTAAACCTGGAAGTTCAGTCCCCCCAGCTCCCAGGGTCATACAGCTCTAAGAAAGTCAGATTCCCTATGTAAAAAGTTATATGCATAGGAGATCTACATAAGAGTGTCTAAAATGTACACCAGGCCTATCTACACAGGAGAAAAATACCTTGATGCTTCAGGATCTAATGCCCGAAAAGAAACAACCTGTCCTCCAGCATCTGCTAGTAAGAGCATCCCGAAATATACCTGCTTTTATGGTTTTGGTGTAACTTGGGAGGGCTGGAGCACACTGCAGCGCTTTGCCTGTCTCAGGAGCTCCCCCCAGTGTGGCAAGAGGCAGCTCCAGCTCTTCCTGCACTCCTGGGCTCACACCCACAGCAGGTTTGTGCATGGCCCTTCCCAGCCCATTGCTGTCAGAGGTGCAGAAGACAGAGGAGGGCCCGGTGGATACCCCAGGACCCCCAAGTGTACTGGTTTGAGCCCCCCATTAGCAGCAGCCGCCAGCAGCCCTGGGGCAGAGCACCCTCCATCCCACTGCTCTGTGCCCATCTGCAGCAGCAGGGATGAGTTTTCTTTTAATCCGTTTTCACCCTGGCATGTTCCAGCTTAGTGCGTGTGCTTCGCTGGGGGAAGGAAGGCTTCGTTTGATTTGTGCCAGAGCTGGGAACAAAGACACAGAAAACAATCGCTCCCCCATTGCTTGGAGCCCAAGTGGGGCAGGGAGCACAGCACCAGCTGGCTTTTTTTCCTTTTCCCCCTCGTTTTCCCAAAGCTTTGCCCAGCTCTGTTTGCACATGGCACTAGCAGGCACTCAGAGGCAGCAGCATCGCTTTAAGCTTTGAACTGCCGTTTGCAGAAAGAAATGTTCATGCCGACAGGCTGATTGTCATGGCAACGAGAGATCCACCTCTGCTGTGGTACCGCTGCCGGAGAGGCGCATCCCAGGGGATTCAGCCTGCAGGCATGGGGGCACCCGACTCCCTGGGGAGCATCGCTGGGGCACAACGTCCCCCTTGTGCCACAGACCCAAAGAGAAGGTGGGGATGGCTGAGTTCTGCTGGCTTTGCCATCAGGAGGTACCGAGGGGGAGGTGATGGCAGTCACACCTTTGGATAACGCTAGGTAATGCCCGTGGACGTGATGAGTTGCTTGGATTTAGGCACAGGGCTGAGGGCTAGGAGACCTCAGTGGCTCCGGAAAACCAACACGCTTCCTCTTGCAGGCAACAGTGGAGAACCAAGGCAGGGTGGATCTGGTGGACTCTGAGAGTCCAGACACCCCTTATTTGCAGTTTGGCATCTTGTTAGTATAATCCCCTTCCTTTATCTGACCCTTCTCATTTAAAAACAAAACACACTAAAGAAACATACACCTCTTACCGCAATACCAAGCTGTGATATTACAATGAGGATCACAATACTCATTATTATAATTGCTTAAGTGATGACAGTTGTGCTATTACTGATTATATCTCTGCTGTGCATGAGCCTTGTGTTTTCTGTGCCTTCCTGTTGCATGCACACAGAGCCATATGCCAGTTTTGATTTGCAAACGTACGATTTATAAGGTAAAATTTTGGAGATCTCAATCTATTAAGACTATGGAGCTACTAGCTGGGACAGATTTTTTTCTCCCTTGCTGTGATGTCAATAAGGAAGCAAATGTGAGTATCACCATCTGCAGCAGGTGCTTCTCTCCTCAGCTACAAGCCAAAGCATTCATCCAACAACCTGGACCTTAATAGTCAGGAGGTGAGAGGGTGAGAAGCATTACTGAACAGCCTGAGCACGGTGCCTCCCCTGAGAAATGCCACCTGCTGCCCCCAAGCAAGAGAACCCCAGAGTGCATATATTAGGGACACTGGTAGTATTGCTTCGGTACCTGGATGGCTCTCGAGAGAACAAGGTGATGAGGATGCAGCTCTGCTATTTGACAGGGGCACGCAGGTGCCCTTCAGAAGCTCACACAGATGGAAGTCGTCCTGGTAGGCACAGTACAGACGATGCACAGACAGTACTCATCGCTCTTGGGAACTGCCGTCTCGAAATTTGGTTATTTTCCACAAGGAAGCCAGTCAAGGACCTGGAAGCAAGTTGAGAGCAAATGATCCAGCAATGTTCTGCCAGGAAAACGTCATTAATACTGGAAAATACACAAGTACCCTGGCAATACAAAACATTAAATGAAATCAGTCACTATTTAAAGTCTACCATGGCTGTCTCTAAATAAACCCTATGGCACTGACCTCTCCCATCTAGCCGTCCTGGCAACAATTGCTGCTGGCCACCAGCATTCAGCTGGGGTCAGCTGGAGCAGAGCAGTGCAGGATCCCCCACCCCCAGAGCTGCTCAAACCCAGCAGTCACCAGCTAACAGCCAAGATGACAAGTTCTGGACAAGTTAAAGAGCACAAGCATCATTTACCATAGATGCTACATTGATTACAGATGACAGAAGCTCACCTGACCCAATACAGACACCAAAAGTCCTTTTCTTTTGAAAAAAATGCTCAAAATAATATGCCGCTTCTCCAGAAGACAGGCTGCTGTCATCTGTTCTTCGCTGGGATCTTATGGGCAAATACTGGGAGAGTTACGTGTTCTGCTCTTGTTTTCTATCACAACTTGTATCATCACACAAGAGCTGCCCATTTCACATAGGATTATTGGCTACAGTAAGACTTCAGTAATTGCAAATAAGGGCAGGATTTGGCCCACACAGTACATGTAATGGCTGGTCCCTATAATTGAAAATTAAGTGCATATCCATTGGTTTACCCACAGTAGTACAAAATAAATAGTCTAGCACAACATCATTTGGTCTTTGTGAATTTAATATCCCAGAAATCACTTAAAGTGTTTCTGGTTTTACCTACTTCGTGTTTCTCCTGAGATTCTGTGCTAATGCAGTGGCAATTTATTGAAATCCAGAGAAGTATTTGCTGCATGCTAAAGTGCAATCTTTTTTGTTTCCCAGGTGAACAGTTTCAGTTTTAGACTGGTTCTTTTTCTATACAGCTCCTCAGATTTACTTTCCCTGAGAATTTTTATTCATCTTTTGAAGAGCCATTAAGATGCTGTAAGCAAGAGGGAAAGCTTTCAGGAAGACCAAAGATAAGAACTTCTCAAGAACATTTAAAGCACAGAAAGTAAACATGAATTTCCTTGGTCTCCACTCCAAGACTAATAAATACAGTGTTGCTGTGAATGGTTAACCTTTGCTGATTGTACGTGATTTCTATAAGGCCTGCATTTAAGAATTCTACTGCATGGAGGTAAAAATAAAGGGGTCCCTGCACCTCACCCAGCTAGCACTGGGGTTTGCTAAGTACAAGGAACTTGCAGCAGATACAGCATCTTCTCACCTTGCTGCTTTAGCTTTGAAAGATCTGGAGTTGGAAAAGCAGGATGCTTATTACCAGTAAATAAAATGAGACAAGGCTGAGAGCTGCTGGTTAGAAAAACCAGAAGAACATGGAGACCATAAACTGGTTCAATTTGCTGATTTCAAGTGATACTAGCTTTCTGCTCCATAAACCAGTGTTGAATGCAATATATCTGATAAGTTTTTTTTTTTCTCTCTGTCTTTCTTTCTGAATCCAGAACAGTTAATATTATTTCATTCAACTCAATTTCACTTCTCTGCATGTTTAATTATGTTCTTATTTCTATCCCAGAGCTACTTGACACATGGTGCCAAGAAAACAAAACACAACCAAAAAAACCAGCCCAAGTAAGTCTTCTCGCTAAAGCAGCAGACAATGAGGAGTCAACATGAATAAATACACACATTTAAGCAATTACAGCTGAGTACGGGGTATGTCCTAATACTTAGTGAAGAGGCTATATTTAATTATAAATGGACATACTTAAGACATTAATAAATGAGAATGAGCTTTTTCATTAGGTGAATGGCAAATTCAGACAAAGAACCTTGGTTTAATATCACCTGGTACCAGAAGAACCTCCCCTTAAAGACCACTTGCCTACAAGCCCATTGATGAAACCAAGCCTCCTGCATCTTGGCCACTTTGAGAAATTCACCGAGGCTGCTGGAGAGCTGTGCTCACCAGCCAAGTAATTCTTATGCAGAGGGAAACAGCCACTAGTTACATCCCGGGCAAAGGGCTGAAAAACCTGGAGTACTGATTTGGCCTGATTTTCAGGCAACAAAATATTATCAAGAAATTGTTCCCTAAACAATCTTTAGGGAAGACGAAAAATGCTGGAAGAAGAGCCAAGACAGCCTAATTGTTTCCTTGGCTCTGCTCACACTTTGTACGCCTCACTGAGAGCAGCCTTAACAAGCATCCACTTAGTTAATGGTGGCTCAGTGACTTTAATTACCTACTCCCACCGATGCTCAGCTCAGTACAAGCAGGGGCAAACAAGAAAGGCACAAGCTAAGAGCTGGCTACGTACTGAAACAAGGACTTGGAATTGTCCCTCCAGAAAGATGACCAAGAACTAATCGAGGACAAAGTCTGAATTCAGTTTCTCTTTCAACACTGTAGGCATTCAGATCTTAGCGAATGTCAGCCATAAAGCACAAGACACTAATTTAATGTAAATATGTCCTTTTCTTTGCTGGGATGCAGCAGGAGCTATTTCTGGTTACAAAAAACAGCTATCAGTGAAAATAACCCGCATCCCAAAGCAATGATGAAACATGGAATTTATTCCATTGCACGGACCTGTTGATTAAGACCATCATTCATATCACTGAAAAATGAACTGCCATGGAGACAAACTACCCTGGAGCTTGCTCTTTCGTTCTGTAGTAATCATTCCACACAACGCAATTATCTTGAAAAGTTGCTGATGGCAAGGCTAAAATACAAAAATAGTCAAGAGCATCTCCACGAGCAGTTTATTGATGTGCTTGCTAAGTTTTCATGTACACATAGGCTGGGAGAGGTCTTTGTCTGCTTGTCTACATTAACAATTGCTGTGCATAAGAAAATACGGGCTTGATTGTGTTAATTGCGGCTCTTTCATCTTTCAGCTTCAAGCTGCATTATGACTGACCTAGCTTAAATGTGTCATGCTAAAGAGATCCAGAAACAGAGAGAGATAGGTGCCACAATCCTAGCCACTACCTTACGAGATGTTCCAAGAGATCCCTGCCCTGGGGCACGAAGGAAGAAGATAATCATATGGTCTGCACTGGACACTTGGATAGGAGCCATGGTGGAAGGCCACTCACTGTGCTGAAAATCCCAGGTTCCTACCCCTGGCCTCCTCGCTAGCTCACAGCATCTTTCATTCCCTTCCAGCTCACCTTGCTCAGCACCCTAACGTGGGAGCAGATCTCAGTACAAAGACGGTGCCTTTATTCTCAACATGTCGGGCACGGCGGGGTCAGGCAGCGCAGGGTCCGTGGGCTCGGTGGGCTTGGTGGTGTGGCGCTTCCTGGCTGAGTATGGCAGCAGCATGCCAAGTTGCCTCAAGGTGCTGGACGCCTACGTGCTCCTCACCGGCGCGCTGCAGTTTGGCTACTGCCTCGGCATTGGCACCTTCCCCTTCAACCCCTTTCTCAGCGGCTTCATCTCCACCATTGGCAGCTTCACCCTCAGCAGTCAGTGCGGCCCCTGCGCGGTTTCCCCTGGCAGCCAGGGCATCCCCTTGACAGTGCTGGTTTATGGGGACAGGACAAGGGGCAATGGCCACAAAGTGGAGCACGGGAAGTTTTGCACCAATACGTGGAAGAACTTCTTCATGGTGAGGGTGACGGAGTGCTGGAACAGGCTGCCCAGGGAGGTTGTGGAGCCTTCTTCTCAGGAGGTATTCAAGGCCCATCTGGACGCCTACCTGGGCAGCCTGCTCTAGGGAACCTGCTTTGGCAGGGGGGTTGGACCCGATGATCTCTTGAGGTCCCTTCCAACCCAGGTATTTCTGTGATTCTTCCACAGCCTGGCTCAGTCAGGGCACGTCATCGCAGGAGTGTGAGACAGGTAGGATGTCAGTGCCTGAAAGCCCTCCCTTTTAAAAAGAGTTGGGTTAACTCTAGTAATCTGGAAAGACGAGAGACACGGGGACATATTTTAGCATGTTTGCCTGGCTCCTGCAAACAGCATGCCTTCACCTGAAATTCAGGGATTCGGGTTCAGGCCAAGCCCCTCTGAAGGTGCCAAACCCTGCTCGGGAGCTGGCCCAGAAAACTCAGCACTCAGGAAAACAGCACTGGCAGAGCACAACTCACCCACACCGGAGCACACGGGATTTTCCAGGTGAGGTGACTTGAGTCGAGGCTGGAATAGACGGCAAATGCGCAGGGCTCTGGTGCCCTCTGGAGGAGAAGGGTGTCCACAGGCTGGAGCAAGGCCAGCAGAGGGCTGCAGACACTGCCCTGCTACACTGCAGGAGCCCAGAGGTGAGGGATACTACAAGGGAGATGCTAAGGAAGAGGATTTAAGGTACAGCCAAGCCCCTGCAAACGCCATCGCCACCAACCCCTGAGCTAGCTCTGCCAGACTGGTCTCCAAAAACGACACTTTGGCGCTGCTCCGTAACTTGCCCAGAGAGGAGGAGAGACAGGAAATGAAATCAGGTAAAGCATTGATCATTGCAGGTGAAAAGCCCACCTAACACACACACACACACTTGGCTGTTGCTATTGAAGAGGAATTGCTTGCTATTGAAGAGGAATTTTGTCTGGAAGACTCACCTGCCACGGCTTATTAGAAGCAGAGTGCTTGTGGTACCTGCAGTAACCTTTTGGTGCTCTCTGCGGGCAGCTTCCTTTGTTCCTGCCCAAACAAGCCTCTGTGGCAGAAGCCACTAAATATCCACTATACACTGGCACACGTAACTAGAAGATGTGTCAACAGGCAAGGCAATTTAATTTCAGTCGTACCATTTTTAACCCCCCAGCACCTGACCTTCAAGAAAGAGCTTGGCTCTAGTGAATGAAGAAGCACATCTGTCATCGTGCTAGGGAGAAAAGTGGGAGGCCCAGAACTAGAGCACATCCCTTTTAAAGTTAGCTGTTTGCATTTTTTGCTCTGCATTTTATAAGCTTCTGACTAAAGAAGATTTTCAGGGGTTCCTAAATGTGGTTTCTGCTTCAGCTTATGTCAATGTG